CGTAAAACTCATTAGAGTTGAGAGAGATCAAGAATCCATAAGGAAATAGTATGAAGAAGGTGTCCATTTATATCCTGTTTCACACAGTGGTGGCAGCATAAGAATGTAGGAAGGAAGCCTGGGAGCCAAAGTCCTCAATGGAGAAAAATGCACTTGGCCAGGAGAACTAGGTGGTGATAATCTCACAAAAGAGACGATTTTGTAGGCAAGTTTAGAAGTGCTGACGTAAAATCATTTGGAGTAAAAAAAAGAGAAAGCCTGCCTTCTCTATTCTCTCAGGCCTACAGCCTTGGGATGAGAAAGGGTGAGCATCCTCCACCAGTCTTACCTATGGAAATGGTATACTCATTGGATAGCAGAGTCTAGAGTCATTTTTCTCAATCCCAGCTATGTAACAGAAATACCTGAAGAGCTTTAAAAAAATAAATATGCCTAGGGCTACCCCAGACTATATGAATCCAAATCTCTGGAGATGGGAGTGGGACTCTGGCATCTCTCTTTTTTTTAAGTTCTTAGATGAAAATGATGTATAGTGAAGTATGAAAACCTAAGGCAAGAGGTGAAGGAAGCAGTAGAAAATGTAGAAAAAAAAAATGTTCCTAACAGGAAAAACTCCTGGTGGTAAAAGAACTGCATGACATTGGGGTGGGCATGTAAAACATGGTAAATGACTAGAGGGGCTTTTCATTCTTTACAAGGTAGCAGAATAGAGAAAGTCCAGATGAGAAATTCTGGAGAGATTAGCTGGCCCCAGGAATTACAACCATAACTCCCAGTAGATCTCAAGGCCAAATGCTGTTTGCAGCTTGTGGTCCAGGCAGCAATTTGTAACCTTGTTCTGAGCTCCAATAGAATATGGGAGATACACTTAGAACGTGATACTTTTTTGGACTTCTGCTCTCTGCAGATATCAATCCAGAGAGCTGACCAGGTCGAATCTTAAGATAAATAACCAATGCTCACATAATTTTGCAGGGAGATACAGACATTTTAGTGTATCTTAAAAAAAAACACACAAAAATAAAAACTGGTTTCCATGTAGGGTCTATTTTATTGCTAAACACTTACTGAAAGCTAGAGCTCAAATCTGTTGAGTTTTTTTTATGCCACTGTGTAATAAATAAAGTATGTAACTGTTGAAAACTTTGGTTCTGGAGCCAAAGTGGGGACCTAGGTTCAAATCCTGTCTCTGATATTTGACAATGGTGTAACCCTGGGTGTATAATTTAACCCCATTAAGTCTCACTTTTCTCATCTGTAAGATAAGAATAAGACCTACCTCATAAGACTGTTGTGGAGATTAAATGAGATAGCCCTAGTTACTTTGCATATAGTGAATGTCTCATTCATGATAGCTATTAAGTGTGCAGGTTCAAGCTAGTTGCTAGGGAATGTGAAAATGAATAGATTACATTCTTTATTGTCAAGTATCTCAAATTTAGATAGAGAGGTAGATACATAAAAAATAACAATCCTATTCTGATGGTACCAAGCCCAAAGTAGACACTGAGACATTCTATGGGAGCATGAAAGGACAGCCATTTAGCTTTGTTTGCAGAGGGGAGAGAGGAAAAGACTTACTAAAGGAGAAAAAGCCCAAGAGTGAGTATTTAAGAATAAGGACTAATAGGAGTGATCCACATGAATTTTGGGGAGAGGTTAAGAAGTAAAACGTTCCAGGCCTAGGTATATAGCATGTGTAAAAGCTTGGAGGTAAGAGAAAACCTAGCAGTGTAGGGAGCATTGAATGTGTATAAGTAGTGAGGCCCATGGCAAGAATAGAGAGGCTGGAGAGAAAACTAGGGCCTAAACTAGGAACATATCATGTAGGCCCTTGGATATCATGCTATGAAGCATGAACTTTTAACATATGGGTAATAGGGGACAGCATTTAAGCATCTTAAAGGCAAGAATGTGATCTAGCTACAGAGTAGAGAAATGAATGGAAGGGAGTAAAATTGGAGGCAGTGAGGGTATGTGAGAAATGCTGATGCCTTAAACTAAGATAATTATTTGTGGGGATGAAGGGAAGAAGATGGATTCAAGACCAGTTTAGGAGATAGAATAGACAGAACTTGGCGATCAATTAGCATAGAAATAAACAAGGAGTGAAAGATGACTCCCAGAGTTTTGGTTTGGGCAGCTGGGCCAGTGCTAGATTACCCAGAAGCCAGAGCAAGCATTTTTATATGGCATCTAGCAAATCAGAAGCACCCAAAATGTGTAAACAGTTTAATTTTGGACATATAGCTTAAAAAAAAAGACTCAATCATCATGAGAACATCAGAACTTTTTGCATTTCCTTAATTGTTTATGCCTTAGTATTGTTTTTATTTGAATTGCATATTGGAGAGGGGGATCATAATTTTTTTCATTGCTTAGCGCTGCCTAAAGGAGGAGGAGCCTAAGGCCTTGCTTCTTCTCTAATCTGTGTGGTTAGTGGTATCATTTCACTGAAATAGGGAACACCAGAAGAGAAGCGAACTTGGGCTTCCTGCCTTTGTTATGCTTAGCCCTGAGTGAAGAAAATTGCACAGTTAGGCGGATAAGGGATTGGCAGTCAGGTGGCCTTTTAGGGAGACACCATTAAGCCAATTCTGCATATAACTCAGCCCAAGTGGAGTGTTTAGTCAATTTGCTACAAATGTGTTGCCAATACTAATAGAAAAGTTGGGAGAGTTTATTTACTGGCAAGAGGGGCCATGAATTCAAGTTGATATAAGGATTCGAGGTACAGATTACGGTAGGGGCTCTTAACTCGGAGACCAAGGGAATTATGAACCTGTGAAATTATATGTGTATAGTGCATTTTTATGGGCAGAAATTCCATAGCTTGCTTCAGATTTTTCAGAAGATTGACCCCAAAAAGGTTACCAAGAGCTAATTACTGTGAAGTGAATGAAACTGCTCCTTCAGAGTTCCTTGCTTGCCTGGAACCCTTCCACAGCCCTGGGAGGGGCCCCAGTATATCTGTATTTGTAATTTTGTAAATTTTTTTTATTTAAAGGGAACCTTCTTCTCAAATTACATAAAGTGTTTGGTCCCTCAATATGTGGATTTACCCCTGCCAACCACATATTAGAGAATTACCTAACGTGAGTTAGTATGTGGGAGTTGAGGCAATCCAAACGAAATGAGTATAGAGAAAGAACTGTAGAAGGCCAAAACTGTACTAGCAAAGGCAAAAGCAATGACAATCAAAGAAACAATGGTCACTCAGAAAGGAGGAATGCCAGGCCATATTGTCAAGGAAGTAGAAAGAGAAGTGGCTAGCCATGGTTAGTATGGATGGGACATCATGAAAGAGAAAAAATAAGAAAATAATTGTAGGAGTGGCTAGGACAACTTCAATAGAGTGCTGAGACCAGAGTGCCTTTCTGAACAAGTAAAAAATGGTAGTTGAACAAGTATAAATGGTAGCTATAGTCCACAAAGGCACAGGGGAAGTAAGAGTACCAACAGCAAGCTCTAAACTTCACTGTTGAGTTAGGATAATATTTATCAATAAAGTAGGCTCACTGTAAAAATGGAATCTGTACTGAGGGTAAGTTATATGGCATATATATATTTTTTCAGAATGACTCCTAAATGTGCTCCATGGCCAGGCAAAGGCCTTGTGTGTCTCTTGTCCCCCTGCTCCCAACCTTTCTTTCCTGATTCTGTATAGTCCCTCTCACTACTTCAGTTTTCATATTTCTGCCCCATATCTCTGTCCTCTGGCTGGAGATAAGCAACGGTGAGAGAGAGTGGAATGATATAAGAAGCCATAAGAATAGCCTTTGAACATGAAAAGTTTTGAATTTGAACTTTATCATGGGTAACCCATAAAACACGTAATCCATATATGATTGAGTGTTGTCTGTAATCCAGGGAAAGACAACATCTGTTTGAACCAGAATGTTCTAAATTGACTACCCTGGCAATTCTGAAGTTGATTGATTTTAACTGGGTAAACCTGGTTCATGTTGACTTGCCGTGTATTAGGAGGGTGAGTACTATTTTTTTCAGTGTGAAATACAGCCGTACCTGAGATACATGCTCAGATCTGCTAATAAGTGTGTTATGGAAGCTAGTAGATGCCATTTTAGAATGTTTCCACAGTGAGTTCCTCCTGGGAACTATTTCCAGATAGACTATAGTTCTCAACTTAATTTATTCAGTGACTATATCTTTATAGGCTTTTAAATGATGAGCTACTGATACATTTATTTATAATTATGTAACTATAAAAATCTGTTACTTGAGAGACAATTATTTTTGAATGGCTAATATGACAGAATGTAATGGAAATATGGGAAAATAACTACAAACTAGAAAAAATAAACCAAGGAATTGCTTCAAGGTTTCTGAGAACTAAATAAAATTAATCCAGTAAAAAAAGCAGCAATTTGTAGCTTTTTACTAGCAAAGTGCTGGATAGGAAATGATTAAAGTATTTTAAATGATAAAAAAAGGTTTGTAACATCATTGATTTTCAGTGGTATTGGTAATAGAAGAGTCTATTAAGATATGGTTAATAATATAAATGTGTTAAATAAGTACCTACCACTTATTAGCTATCATTAACATAGAAACAATTCATAAAACCTTTATAGAGAGCTGAAATTTTTTTCTTTTCTTTTTTTCTAGTAGTATGCCTTAGCTCGACTTGTGTATAATGAATTTCTTCCTTAGTAAGTTGTATTTGATTCAACAAAGCCAGTTAAACACAATATTCCTAGACACCTCCTGGTTACACTGGTAAAGGACATAAATCAGTTTGCATGGGGGATTTGTTTCAAATGGGTTTTGGAAATTTTGAATTATTTGGGTATAACATTTGTCATCACACTCTTAGCTGCTTCTGCAAATAATTGGAATTTGTAGTGTTAAGCATTGTTGAAATTATGTTGAAATCAATTGTCTTTCAACTTTGTAATTGTTTTGATGAACCTAATTGTACAACTTGCGGATGCCAAAACTATACCCCAAATAAATACATGTTAACATTTTGCCTTTAGCCAATAAGAAGAAGGAGAAAGAGCGTCCAGAGATCTCTCTTCCTTCAGACTTTGAGCATACGATTCATGTGGGGTTTGATGCAGTCACCGGGGAATTCACTGTAAGTAAGCTCCTTGTTTTGTTTTGTAAGCCACGAAAGAATTCCTTTGTGAAAACAGGATTCAAGCAAGAATTGCCATATCCCAAAATGTCAGGCTTAGTATTTTTGATGGTTCCAAAAAAGATGGACATTGCCTAGGCAATCACAGATGGAAATAGAGAATGGCAACAACATTGACCAAATTATTTTGTCCATCTTTTAAAACAGTTTGATCACTGTATAGTCTCAACTTGGTTGTAAACATTAACTAACTGTGGCACAGAAAATATACCCCTGGCAGAGAGACACTACCTGAGCTTTTTCTTTATCATGTGAAGTGAATCAGAGAATCATCTACTCAACATGGCCAGTGAAAATAATTCATCTGAATAATTCAGACTTTACATTAAAACCTGTATTACCCAGATCAGCTAGCTACACTAACCAAGAATCTCTATGGAACTGACCTGTTTTTTCCTTTGATTTCAAGAACATAGATTATTTTTACAATTATTAGTAGGTATATTTTGTAGACATTCAAAAACCTCATATTTCAAGAAGAAATGTTGATGGATATGTCATGTATGTTTTAGTTGTTATGTGCACTCTCTCTCCTCTCTCTCTCTCTCCTCTCTCTCTAGAGATGACATGTAATCCATAGTAAATACCAATAAGAATTGTCTAGATAGACCATAGCTATAGATCAAGTATTTTGCTGAATATTTGTAGTGCTCAAATAGCACAAGATCTCAGAGCTATGAAATTTAGTACTTTTGTTAAAAACAGACTTTGCATCTTTTCTTTTTTTTTTTTTTTAGATCAATGCGGGAAAAGATGTGGCTATGGCTAGAAATATGTCCCCAGGAAGGTCAACTACCTTTTTTCATACTATCAATGACCTCCATCAAAATGTAAATTCTGAATTAAGGAGTAATTTTGAATGTATTTCAAAAAAAAATCTTTGGTAGAACCATCACCATCAATTCTTGGGCTGTTAAACCAGAGATAAATTTACATATTAAGTAGCTGAGTTTTTTGTTTCATAACATAATACTAAGTAGACCGTGTTATATGATTAAGTGGAAGAAAAGAAGGAACAAATTAATCTATGTGGAGAAGCAAACCATGTTGCTGAATTGACAGTCAAATTATCTTATTTTTTCAATTCTGGGAGTAAGTGATATGAGAACGGAAATGGAAACAGTAAACACCTTGGCCTCGTAAAGTGGTGTGAGCTGATTTTTTCTGCGTTCTCGGTAGCAAGCAGAGGAGAACGCTAAGAAATATTGACACATAAAGTGGAGATAGGTAAGATTTAACCAATTTCATCATTAAAGTCAGGGACATTACTCAAATGGCTTTGAGATTCAATCAGTCTCAACTATATTTGCAGAATATTCTCTTAGCCACACTTAGAAACTCCAACCTTGCTATTACCACTACCACCACCATCATCACCACCAGATAAAAGTAATTTGTATAGCCTGAAAAACTTTATATTTTTAAAAAAATTATAAAGAGATTGTAACTATTATTGCTGACACTTGAAACAAGAAAATCCCTTAAACTTTATAAAAGTTTTGCCTAATAACTATCCCTTTTTTATTACTTAATTTTTCCAGCTTCGACATTTTAATGTTCTCTATGCTTTTCCTCATTTAAATTACCCTTGTGTTTTATTGTTGTCATTCCCTATTTTTCTTTTCATTTTTCTTCCTTTTTGTTTTCTGATGTTGAAGTTTTCTCATCCAGTTATCTCATGTGACATTCTAATTGCTTTCCAATATTTTATTCTTTCTACTTTTCAAATTTACTTGTTATCTTGTGATACAATATCTCTACCTTTAGCTCTTTCATTTATCTTTCTGGGTTCTGAATGGAAATGAAAGGAAGTAAATCACCATCATCTTGCTGACTGCAGCACCAGGCATTTTCATTTTGCTGTCAATTAGAACCCAAAGAACCCAAAGTGATGAACAATCTTTCCAATGATGAAAAACAGTTGGATACAACCAAACCATACAAAACAAATACCCTTCTCCCCACCTCTAAAAATATCCCCAATTTGAAATAAGATAGCTGTTTGGAAGTAATCCATTGTTATGAATCCATTGAATACATAGAAAGACATAAGCTAAATTTGGACAATGGAAGTACTTTATTGTCATCTTGATGATCTTTTGTAACTACTTGTTCATACCTTATTTTTAAAGATGCCAAATTCTACCCTTCTTGGTACTTTTTTTTAAACTGTGATTTACATTTACTATATTATTATATTTATTAAGTATAAACATGCCAAATTAAAGCAAGCTTTTAAGAAAGTCTTTTTATTGGTAGGGTTTAGAATTGGGTCCTAATTGTCATAGCACCAGTAATTCATTGTGTGTTGGGAGGGAATCATATTATTAAGTTTGATTGTTGTAGTTGTTGAGGTTGAATTTTGTGCAATTTACTGAACTATCTAATCCAGTTGTCTTACAAAGGCTTGTTATTTTGAATACTTGTACACTGATTTGGTGTGTTACTTGGTGATTACCCTCTGGCTAATTGGCCCATATGACCTTGTATACCCGGTCATACACTGGGACCCTGAAGCCAAAAGTAGGTTGGGAGGTGAGATTTTTGGTATTCAATGATTACAAGTCCTTACCCTTTATATTGCCATTTTTGTCCCAAATACTTCAGAACTCCCTTTTCCAGACCTCTAGACCTGTGACGGTCGCTTCAAGTCAATCAGAGGGAAAAATGGTATGAGTGATATAAATTATCATTTCTTATGATAAGATAAATGCTTGGCCTGTTATATCATGCTGCCATTCTCCTGGGCTACACTGGACAACCCCCAGCTTGATGTACATCTAGTTGTTATCGTATACACAGTCAGGCATTGATATGTGCTCCTGCTTCTTATGCTCAAACTCTTAGGTCTTCATTAGCTGTCTAACTTTTGGGATTAGTTCCTGAACATGGCATAATGAGATGGCTTTCTGACTATGTGCCTTTTTGGCATACATTCAAATTTAAATGTCAGGTTTTATTGATAATTGGATTTGTCTCAACTTAGAAAAAGAAATTATGTCAGCAGTGTAGTCAAAATTATGTCAGCAGTGTAGTCATGTGGTAAGTATAGTTGTCTGGAAGATTTTCTGCTATTGACAGCATTTTTCCTGCTGTCTACTGATCATAAGACTATTTATCACAAAAGATTAGAAGTGCCATGGGAATGTATAATAACTGCAAATATTCTAATGACTATGGTAATGATTATGCCAGTAACATCTGCTCTAGCAGTTATGTGCAATGCATACCTCAATTTGTAACACTTAATAACTCCTTTGGCCATTATAGTATTAACCAAATGCTATTAATTGCACCTAGAATCAGAACTGGGATCTTGCATGGGCTCCTGAGTTCAAATTTTTGGCTTAAGGCTTTAGCATCTAGCCGCGTGATAAATGCATGTAAAAGTGTCATTTCACTGTGCTTGGAGTAACCCCAGATGCCAGGAATTAAGGATATATATCCAAAATCAAGGCAGCTGGGTCAAGCATGTTTCTGTAGCATTTGAGATATCTTTATTTAGGCAAAGCTGTTACCTTATATCTTGTCTTATTTTGTGGGAAGTGGGATTTTAGAACTGCAGCACTAAAATGGAAATTATTTATACATGGTTTATATGGAATGGTTCCCCTTTCCCTCATCTAAATATCTAAGAAACTTAAAACATAGAGTCTGGCTATGTGGGAATGTACTTTATCTAGTTTTCTCCAAGCCAGCCATGACGTTAGCTACAAAGTTTCAAAGAATCACATCAATGAGAATAAAATTCAGTATTTACATACAGCCATCCTTTGAATTTTAGCCACATATGCACTTTTAATCTGAAACTAAAATTGGTTAACCAGAATTGGGAACTGAAATTTGTAAGTTTATCACATGGCCATTGGCTACCTGTGATCACCCAATTATGAAAACAACTTACAAATTATTGTCAAAGCTTTTCATGATGCCATCCTTCTTGCCTCCAAATTCACGTTTCTGCCTTTTAGTAATTTCTCCAGTCATTTAATGGTAATTCTTATTAATACATAATTATGGAGGAAGCGTCTTGCCAAAAGTGGAATAATGAATCCAAACTTTGGAACATTGTCGTTTTCTCTGTTCTCTTAAATCTGTTGTCCTGTAGCCTGTCCTGTCCCTGATTTAGTTAAAACCTCCCTATTTTCATAACCGCCCCACTTTAGAAGGGACTCCCCCCATTCAGACCCATTGGTTTCATCTCCTCCCACCTTCTAAGTTGTCCCACATTCTGTTTTAACTTTCTTTTCTTTCTTTATTTACGTCCATTACAGCCAGATCTCTATGGCTCACAGATGTGCCCAGGGAAGCTCCCAGAGGTGCGTCACAGGCCCAAAAGAAGCTTGCATCAAAGTGCTTCTTTGAGATGTCATAGCACTGCAGCAGCAGGTTCATGTGTGTGCAGTAGAGTTGTTGCTTGGCTTATCTCACTTTTTTGTTGTCATTCCCAAACTCTGGAGGCCCACGTCACACATTGTTTTGCCGAGACTTCATAGGACAAAGCCACATAAATTGTGTCTGGGTGCACTTCAGGAATAGTGTATCTGTTTATCTCTCCAAGTTGCTCTTGGAGGTTGGATAATTATGAAATTGGGACATCTGTAGGCTGAACATGTAGGAAAGAATGTTGAATGTACAATCCAAAGTTAACCTCGAATTTTTGCAATTCTCCTTGGTTAGATTTCCAAATACTCCCTCCTCTCTGCTCTAAATGCTTCAGATTATTACAAATTCTGACAAGGCTTTGGCGTGGTTTTCATAGTCCCCAGGTTCTATGTGGCCTACACATGAAGTGAGGAGGAAGGGAGAGAGAGAGGAGAGGAAAAGGAGGGCATGCCCTGAAGAAAGCTGCAGGGAAAATGCCCAAAGCAGCGTTAATGTTACTGTTTAGCGTCTCGGTGGTTCTTGCTCCTCCACAATTCTATTTTTGTCTCCTCCCAATCTGCCTTTATAGTAAAGCTCTAGACCCAAAAAATTACATTTTGTAATCACAAAGTATAACCTGACCAAAGGTGAGACTCCTTTTATTCCAAAATATATTCTGATTACAACATGACCAGAACAGCTTGTGTTATTCTAGTTATAAAACTCACTGATCTGCACTATACTATGCTGTGCACAAATTTAGAGAGAAGTCTTGCTATGTCTGCCCTGAGTCGCCAGAAAAAAAATAAGCTAAGCCGTAAACATCATTTCATGGATGAGCAGAGTCAATATGGAGGTGATTTTCATGTGCTTTTTTTTTTCTATCACAGTCATACTCCCACCCACCCTTTTTATGTTGGATCCTAGTTTTACCTATGTGTTTTAATTAGAGAAGAGAATGATTGCATTATTAAGTTACTAACTTTAAATCTAGAATGTAACTTCAGTTTCCCAAGTGTAATCCTACAGGTAGCATGGGCTTCTTGGTGAAGAACTTTACTGGAACATAAAAATGCTGCTGCAGAATGTTCTGAGCTACCATTCTTTCCCTTTGGTTGTCCACAGGGAATTCCTGAGCAATGGGCACGATTACTCCAAACCTCCAACATAACAAAATTAGAACAGAAGAAGAACCCACAAGCTGTTCTAGATGTTCTCAAATTCTATGATTCCAAAGAAACAGTCAACAATCAGAAATACATGAGCTTTACATCAGGAGGTAAGAGGAAGTCTATGGTATCAATGGTAAAGAGCATCATGTTAAGAACAAAATGTCTGTAGGACAATCTGAGAGTGTCATCTTAAGAACAAAATGTCTGTAGGGCATTTGAAGTCAGTTCTAGTACCTTCATATGGCGTCAGCATAAGGAAACCAAAAATAAGTTGGAATTTGAGGTTGATGTTAAGTTATATAGCTCAAGTATTTTTAGAATCCAAATAAGGTAATTATTTAGTGAAGTAGTAGTTCTGAGTTTGAATTAACAGTCAATTGTTGTCTCTTTACTGGCATAAAGGCAGTCATTTATCAGGCCTTGTGATATGTTCATGAAGTAAGAGCTGTATGCGTGAAGCTGTGGTCTCTGGAAATTTATTTTGTCCCTTAGATTCATTGATTTGTACCATGATGACACAGCATACATTTTTTTTTGGTGTCAGGTTATTTTGATAAGACCCCAAAATCAGACTGAAAAGGGGAAACTATGTCTTACTATTTTTAGAAATTGAAATATCCGTGTTATTGCCAAATCTTGACCTCATTTGCTAGTGTGTAGATTTAGCCTTTATTTGGAGCTTTGATGTTCAAATTTGCACTATAAGCAGCTGTACTAGTCCGTTTTTATGCTGCCTGTACAGACATGTCTGAGACTGGGAAGAAAAAGAGATTTAATTGGACTTACAGTTCCACGTGGCTGGGGAGGCCTCATAATCATGGTGGGAGGTGAAAGGCACTTCTTACATGTCAGCGGCAAGAGGATATGAGAAAGAAGCAAAAGTGGAAAACCCCGATAAACCCATCAGATTTCATGAGACTTATTCACTATCATGAGAATAGCATGGGAAAGACTGGCTCCCATGTTTCAATTAGCTCCCCAGGGGTCCCTCCCACAACATGTGGGAATTCTGGGAGATGCAGTTCAAGTTGATATTTGGGTGGGGACACAGCAAAACCATATGATTCTGCCCCTGGCCCCTCCAAATCTCATGTCCTCACATTTCAAAACAAATCATTCCTTCCCAACAGTCCCCCAAAGTCTTAACTCGTTTCAGCATCAATCCAAAAGTCCATCGTCCAAAGTCTCATCTGAGACAAAGCAAGTCCCTTTTGCCTATGAGCCTGTAAAATCAAAAGGAAACTAGTTGCTTCCTAGATAGAATAGGCGTACAGGCATTGGGTGAATACAGTCATTCCAAATGGGAGAAATTGGCCAAAACAAAGGGGTTACAGGGCCCATGCAAGTCCAAAATCCAGTGGGGCAGTCAAATCTTAAAGCTCTGAAGTGATGTCCTTTGACTGTAGGACTCACATCTAGGTCAAACTAATGCAAGAAGTGGGTATCCATGGTCTTGGGCAGTTCTGCACCTGTGACTTTGCAGAGTACAGACTCCTTCCAGGCTGCTTTCACAGGCTGCTGTTCAGTGTCTGCAACTTTTCCAGGTGCACAGTGCAAGCTGTCAGTTGATCTACCATTCTGGGGTCTGGAGGGTGGTGGCCCTCTTCTCACAACTCCACTAGGCAGTGCCCCAGTAGGTACTCTTTGTGTGGGCTCTGATCCCGCATTTTCCTTCAACACTGCCCTAGCAGAGGTTCCCCATGAGGGCCCCACCACTGCAGTGCCTGAGCATCCAGGCATTTCCATACATCTTCTGAAATCTAGGCATAGGTCTCGAAACCTCAATTCTTGACTTCTGGGTATGCACAAGCTCAACACTATGTGGAAGCTGCCAAGGCTTGGGGCTTCCACCCTCTGAAGTCACAGCTCAAGCTGTATGTTGGTCCCTTTCAGACATAGCTGGAGCAGCTGGCACAGAAAGCTCCAAGTCCCTAGACTGCACACAGCATGGGGTCCCTGGACCTGGTCCACAAAACCACATTTTCCTCTTGGACCTCTGGGCCTGTGATGAGAAGGGCTGCCGCGAAGTTCTGATATGGCCTGGAGACATTTTTCCCATGGTCTTTGAGATTGACATTAGGCCCCTTGCTACTTATGTAAATTTCTGCAGCCAACTTGAATTTCTCCCCAGAAAATAAGTTATTATTTTCTATCACATATTGAGGCTGCAAATTTTCCAAACTCGTATGCTCTGTTTCTCTTAGAAAACTGAATAGCTTTAACAGCACCCAAGTCTCCTCTTGAATGCCTTGCTGCTTAGAAATATCTTCCACCAAATACCCTAAATAATCTCTCTCAAGTTCAAAGTTCCACAAATCTCTAAGGCAGAGGCAAAATGCCACCAGTCTCTTTGCTAAAACATAACAATAGTTGCCTTTGCTCCAGTTCCCAACAAGCTCCTCATTACCATCTGAGACTACCTCAGTCTGAATTTTATTGTCCATATTGCTATCAGCATTTTGGACAAAGTCATTCAACAAGCCTCTATGAAGCTCCAAACTTCCCCACATTTTTATGTCTTCTTCTGAGCCCTTTCAAAGTGTTCCAGTCTCTGCCTGTTACCCAGTTCCAAGGTCACATCCACATTTTCAGGATCTTTTCAGCAACACTCCACTTTACTGGTACCAATTTAGTATATTAGTCCATTTTCATGCTACTGATAAAAACATACCCAAGACTGGGAAGAAAAAGAGGTTTAATTGAACGTACAGTTCCATATGGCTAGGGAGGACTCAGAATCATGGTGGGAGGCAAAAGGCATTTTTTACATGGCAGCAGCAGGAGAAAATGAGAAAGAATCAAAAGCAGAAACCTGTGATAAACACATCAGATGTTGTGAGACTTATTCACTACCTTGAGAATAGCACGGGAAAGACCAGCCACCATGACTGTATTACCTTCCGCTGGGTCTCTCCCACAACATACGGGAATTCTGGGGGATACAATTTAAGTTGAGATTTGGATGGGGACACAGGCAAACCATATCAGCAAGTGAAATGTATATACCAAATAATACTTTCACGTTTTGAGATAGATGATTTGAGTTCTCTCTACAATAATTTATTAACTTATTATTTAACATCTAAAGGATGAAGGGAGTATTATCATTAGTGTTCCAGCTATAAAGAGCCCCTACCTCTTGGCACTGGATTTAGTATTAGGCAGCCTTTAAGTTTCTTTGAGAATGATCCAAGGATACCCTTGGAAGGGGAAGAGTGTCTGATTTGGCCTTATCAAATATCAAAGCCCAAATTTGAATGCATATGGCAATTTACATGCTAAATTTGACTTTTTTTAAATGAGAAGATTGCTTAACTGCTGTTATCCAATGTTGAAAACCTAAAAAGAAAGCCATCAAGGAAAACTTTTTACTATATTTAAGCTTCCACATAGAATAAAATAAGAGATCCTGGTGACACATCAAAAAAAAAAATGTTTTATGTGAGAAAATCAAGAGCTGTGCTCCAAGTTAGAACATAGGCAACCAGAACTGAATGTATTCAAGAAATCATTTCAGTATAACCACGAATACACTTTAGAGTCTCAGAGTTTGTTCTTTACTCCAAATAGCCATTGCTGTTTAACACTTAGTTTTATATGCCAGATTTCTCTCAACTTACAAAGATGAAATCCTGACAACTATATTAAAACTCAACTGTACAGTTGTACTGTACTGAGCTGAGTGTACCTTATCATAGGTTTTGTGAATGCTCTGGTGTTGGGACTGACTAATAGCTGAGGAGAAGAGAAGCAGAAGTTGGAGATAGCACAGGAAGGTGGAAGGAAGGAATGGAAAGGAGGTAGGGAGAGAGGAAAGTGGGAAAAATCCTAGATATACAGTAGTTCCTCACTTACCCATGCGGAATATGTTCTAAGACCTCCAGTGGATGGCTGGAACCATGGATAGTATGGAACCTTATGTATACTATGTTTTTTTTTTTTCTATACATACTTACCTATGATAAAGTTATGAATTAGGCACAGTAAGAGATAAACAACAGTAATTAATAATAAAATAGAATAATTATAACAATATGCAGGATCACTACATTTGCTCTTTGGGGCTATTACGAAGTAAAATTAGGGATACTTGACTCTAAGCATAGTGGTATCTCCACAGTTGTTCTGATAACCAAACTGGCTATTAAGTGACGAATAGGCTGGTAGTGTAAACAGAGTGGGTACACAGGGCAAAGGGATGATTCATGTCTCAGGTGGAATGGAGCAGAATGACATGAGATTTTATCATACTTGAAATGGCATGCAGTTTGAAACTTATGAATTGGTTATTTCTGTAATTTTTGATTTAATATTTTTGGACCACAGTTGACCACAGATAGCTGAAAGCACAAAAAGTGAAACATCAGATAAGGGGGACTACTATAAATGTATAGAATCATACCAGTTTAGAGTAGGTAATCTTGTCATTCTTGAATATAAATGAGATTCACTAGAGGCCTTCATTAATATCTGTAAAACGACCTGGTGAGAATATGGTGAAGATGTAATGTTGTAAGCTATTTTAAGAAAAACTATGTCATTAGTCATAATATGTAGTTAATGCTAAATTGGAGCATGTCCTTCTAGTTAAAATCATGCAGTTTTTCATTTTTATTTTTCTGGTATGGTCTCTAAAGAAAACAGTCTTTATGAAACAAAGATAACCTCTGTAATCTCACTTTGCAGATAAAAGTGCACATGGATACATAGCAGCCCATCCTTCGGTAAGTGAAAAATTGAAAACTGTTTCGTATAATTGGTGTTTTCAGAGATTTAGGAGAATGTAACTGCACAGGTCCAGTTTTTAGTTATAGAGTCTTTTAAAAACAATTTTAAGGTATAATTCGGTATATAAAATTTACCTATTTTCAGGTAAACAGTTCAATGAGTTTTGATAAATGTACCTGTGCTACCATCAGCACAATTGAGTTTTAGAACGTGTCCATCACCCCAGTAAAATCCTTCATAGCTGCTTACAGTTAACTCTACCCACCCCACCCTAGTCATAGGCAAGAACTAATATGAATTCTGCCTTTATGGGTTTGGCTTTCTGGACATTTCATGTAAATGAAATAATACAGCATGTGACTTTTGTGTATTGGCTTTTTGTACTCAGCTTAATTCTTTTATGATTCACCCAAGTTGTTGTGTATATCAGTAATTTGTGTTCCTTTTTACCTCTGTGCATTCCAGAATATGATTGTACCATTGTTTGTTTAACCCTTCATACTCTGAAGGCTCTCTAGTCTATTTTCAGTTGCTATCTATTACAAATAAAGCTACTAGGAACATTCTTGTACAGGGTCTCTATATCGACAGTGTTAAAGATTTACATGTAGAACCTTGAGAATAATAATCATATTAATAGAAATTTCTCTGAACACCTACAGTGTACACTTACAATGTAAACTGTAAGATAATTTTATTTTTACATGTACTTAATCTTTCCTACAGCCTAATTAAGTAAGTCTTACCATTGTCCCCATTTTACAAATGAGGAAACTGAGGTTTGGAGAAACTAAATAGCTTCTCTAAGGTTTTAACAGTATACATTTTGTATGTCACTTGTTCCAACAAACTAAGGTACAGTGAGGGAAGTGACTTCGGCCAAATTCACATAGATAATTTTTATCAGAAAAATGACTGGAAAATAAGTAACCTACTCGTTAGAAGTGCTATAGTTTCTGAAAGAGTATTTGTGCAGATTAGACAGAAAATAATCTCAGATAAGGCTTCCCTTTCTGTGATTTTCATTTTGATATCCTGATAGAAATTACTTCTTGCTCCATTTGCTTTTCTAGGGGTGAAATAATTTGCATTACTGAAAGTCTGTTAACCATTTATTCAAACAGTAATTGATGACCACGCTGATTCTTCTTCCTTTTATAGGAGACAAATGCTTGTCTGCTTGATATCACCCTAGGTAGCCAGTATGACCCCACTAGATCTTTTTTGGTTGTAAAGAGTAAAGGCTCTGAAATAGTATATCAGCTTCTCAAAAATTAAAAATAGTATTAACCATATGATCTAACTATTCCACTTCTGGGTATATACCCATAATTGAAAACAGGGTCTCCAAGAGATATTTATACACTGATGTTTATTGCAGCAATATTCACAGTAGGCAAATGGTGGAAGCAACCTGAGTCTCCACCAACAGATGAAGGGTTAAACAGAAGGTGGTATATATAAACAGTAGAATATTATTAAGCCTTAAAAAGAAGATAATTCTGACACGTTAAAACATGGATGAACCATGAGGACATTATGCTAAGTGAAATAAGCCAATCACAAAAGGCCACATACTATATGATTCCACTTATATGAGGTACCTAGAGGAGTCAAATTTGTAGAGACAGAAAGTAGAATACTAGTTACCAGGAGCTGGGGGGAGGGGAAGTGGGGAGTTGTTTAATGCAAGAGAGAAGGAGTTCTGGAGATGAATGATGGTGATGATTATACAACAGTGCCCTCAACAGTACTGAAATGTATACCTAAAAATGGTTAAGATGGTAAATTTTATGTTATATATATTTTACTACAATTAAAAATAAAATGAAAAAAAGAGTGAAGACTCTGGACATAGATATTTAATCTGATTTCTGCATTTACTAAGTATGTCACTTTGGGAAAGTAGTTTAGCTTCTCTGAGCTTCTTTCCTCAGCCATAAGAAGGAATAATAATGGTACTTACCTCCTAGATCTTGTGTGAATATTGAATGTGATAATGCACATAAAGTACTTAGTATAGCACCTGGCACACAATATGTGTTTATTATATGTAAACTATTATTTTTATATGGCCACAAGAGGAAAAACTCACTGTCTTTGCACACGAAGCTTGTACTTGCACTTTGCTCAGATTCCCCAAAACAGAACAGAATATGGCCCTCTTATCTGACTGGTCATTTCCCCTCTTCCTCCTTCTTTGCTATGACAGCTTCCTGGGCCACACTGAAAACAACATGTGAAGGGAGGTAATAGGAAAATGGGAATAACAAAAATGACAATCTTCCATGATCAATGCATACTTTACCTCCTTTGATTTCAGTAATATCATGCTTGTGCAATCTTGACTGGGTATTCTGACAAAAAAATAGTTATTATTTTTTTAGATTGGTCAGCTTTTGAAACACCAGCTTGCTAGGATAGTCTGTGTATTGGTTTTTGTCTTCTCCTAAGATATTAACTGTTCTTTTGAAATTGGTTCTATTGGTTTTGCTTGTAGAATTAAAACAAAGTCGATGTAATGGCTAAAATATTCCATTAAGTTAGAAAAAAATAATAATCTCACTGTCTAGGGATAAAACAAATAGATTTTTACTTATTTAGCATATATTTACCAACTGCCTACTTTAAGCTCTAGGAAGTTTGGATCTCAGACTGGTAGGGGAAGGTAAACATAAACATAAAAAAGTACAATACACCAGCCTGAGAAATTCCACCTCTACTAAAAATGCAAAATTAACTGAGCATGGTGGCATAGGCCTGTAATCCCAGCTACTTGGGAGGCTGAGGCAGGAGAATCACTTGAACCCGGGAAGT